CTATTAAAAGAATAACAAAAAGTGACAGACATAATAGAGATAAGAACAAATCAGCAGTAAAACATTTGATTATCACTGGCAAGTATTTGAACCCTTGACTTTTTGTCTTTTCAGATTCACCAACGAGTTTTTTATACCTCATAAAAACAGCATATTTCTAATACGAAGAGCAAAACTAAATCAAGTCTTTTGCCATATAAAGGAAATTCAAAAGAGCATACATAATATTCAATCTACTCCAAGTTTTCCATGTTCTTCACTGTAAGAATTTTTCTAAAAATACTGAAGTCAAATCTGTTTAAATTACAGATAAACAGTTTTTCTCCACCCTAAATATGTCATACTCCCTCTATTCTGTTATCATACATCTTTGAACATGTTTTTTATGCTATATATGATATATTAAATGGATTTCACCTGTTTACTTTTCTGCCTCCTCTATTAAAAAATTAGCCTCTGTACATGTCTTGATTGACCGGGGAGAGATGTTTTATGCATTTTCTTTCATCATTTATCGTAAATTGATTATAACAGTATATATTTGTGGGATACAAAGTAATGTTATGACTTATGAATAAAATGCAGAATAATTAAATGAAATGAATTAATATATCCTTCACCTCAAATACTTACCATTTTTGTGGTGAGGCGATTTGAAATCTACTCTTAGAAATTTTGAAATATACATTACACTATTATTAACTATATTCACCATGCTGTGCAAAAGATCTCGAAAAAAACAAAACAAAACAAAACTCTTACTCTTCCTGTTTAGCTGGATCTTTCACCACCATCTTCCCATCCTGCTTACCCTCCCCAAGCCTCTGTAACCACCATTTCACTCTCTGCTTCTGTAAGTTTGATTGTTTTCCATTCTGGATATAAGTGAGATCGTGTTGTATTTGTCCTTCTGTGCCTGGCTTATTTCACTTAGCATAATGGTCTCCAATCCCATCCATGTTGTTGAAAATAACAGAATTTCTCTTTTTAATGCTGAATAGTATTCTATTGTGATATATATATATATATATATATAATTTTTTCTTTATTCCTGCAGTGATGGAGACTCAGGTTGATTCCATAACTTGGCTATTATCAATAGTGCTGCAATGAACATGGTAGTGCAAATGTCTCTTTGCCATACAGATTTCAAATCTTTTGGGTGAATACTCACAAGTGGGAATGCTGGATCATGTGGTGGTAATTCTATTTTGAGTTTTTGCGGAACTTCCATATAGTTGTCTCTAATGGTTGTATCTATTTATATTCCCACCAGGAGTGTACAAAGGTTCCCTTTTCTCAACATCCTTTCCAACACTTGTCAGCTACACTGACTATAAAAAAAAATTCAAATTAAAAAAGTCAGGAAGAAAAGAGAATATTATTAATGACCATGTAGGAATTAAAAGAAATATAAGAGAATATTATGAATGCATGTATGCCATCTAGGGAGATAACTTAGATGAAATGGACAAATTTCTAGAAAAACACAAATTACCAAAATTGACTCAAGAATAAATAAAAATCTTAAATCTCTAACAAAAGTAAACTGATTGAATTAGTAAGACAAAAAGAAAAAAGAAAAAACCTTCCTACAAAAGATAAAATTAAAAAACCCCAGAACCAGATGGCTTCATTGGTGAATTCTACCAAACATTCATGAAATAATTAATACCAATTCTTAAACTCTTCCAAAATTTGAAAGAGGAAGGAAGACAGTGTATCTAGTTCTGAGGCCACTTGTATGCTGAAAGCAAAACCAAAGATATTACAATAAAAGAAAATTGTAGACCAATATCCTTTATGATTATGGATTCAAAAATCCTGAATAATATACTGCCACAGTGAATCCAGCAAGATAGAAAAAGAATTATGCATAGTAACCTAGTGAGATTCATCCCAAGAATGCAAGTTTGATTTAGCATTTGAAAAACAATTAATGTTAACATATTATATTAATAGAATAACAGTAAAATCACATTATCATCCTTATAGGTATAGAAAAACATTTTACAAAATCCAATACACTTTCATGATAAAAACACTTAACTAAGTAGGAATAAAATGTAATTTCATCAACCTGGTAAAAGACGTTCCTGAAAAACCTATAACTAAGATACTTAATGATGAAAGGCTAAATGTATTCTCTTTAATATAAGGAACAAAACAAGGATGCCTGTTATTATCATTTCTATTTAATATTTTATAGAAAGTTTAAGCAAGAACAACTAAGCAAAAATAAAAAAAGTCAATTCACATTGAAACAGAGGTAAAATTATCCCTATTTGCATATGGAATGTAGAATAAGGAATTCACTAAAAACCTATTAGAACTAATAAATAAATTTAGTACTATTCAAGGGTACAAGATCATGTACAAAATTTAACTTTTTCAATAACCCAACATGAACAATCTAAACATAAATTTAAGAAATAAATTCCACTTATAATAACATAAAAATGAATATGATATTTAGGAATAATATTAACAAAAGAAGTACATATCTGTACTCCAAAAACATTGTTGAAAGAAAGTAAAGCCCTAAATATAATAGATAAAATACACTTTTATGCTGATGGATCAGGAGACTTAATATTGTTAAGATGACATTATCAACTGTAGTGTCCTACAGATTCAATGTAATACCTATAAATAGTACAGCTTCCACTTTTACATAAATTGAGAATATGATACTAAAACTTCTATGGGAAGACAAGAGATGCAGAATAGGTAAAATTAATCCTGTAAAAAAAAAAAAGAAAAGAACAACAACAACAACAAAATTGGAGTACTCAATCCTTATCACAAAGATACAGTAATCAAGACATTTCTAGACATCTATTATAGGTAGACATATAGATCAATGGAATAGAAATTCAAAAGGGAAAAATACTCTTTTCTACAAGTGAATATATACATGCAAAAAGAAAAAAAAGTTGGATCCCTTCCTTTTACTATACACAAAAGTTAACTAAAAAATTAATGACAGACCTAAAACGAAGAGCTAAATATGTAAAAATCTTAGAAGAAAACACAGGAGTAAATCTTCCTGACCTTGGAGTAAGGAAAGTCTTCTCAGTTATTTATTTATTTTTTTAATTGAGATGTCTCAATCTGTCACCCTGAGTAGAGTGCAATGGCATCATCATAACTCACTGCAAACTCCAACACCTGGGCTCAAGCAATCCTTCTGCCTCGGCCTCCAGAGTAGCTGGGACTATAGGCATGCACCACGATGCTTGGCTATTTTTTTCTATTTTTAGTAGGAATGGGGTCTCACTCTTGCTCAGGCTGATATGGAACTTCTGAGCTCAAGTGATCCTCCTGCCTAAGCCTCCAAGAGTGCTAGGATTATAGGCATGAGCCACCATGCCCAGCCATCTTTCTCTGTTATGCAATCAAAAATATAAGCAACAAAAGAGGGAAATACATATATTAAGGTCTATCAAAATTAAAAAAAACACTTTTTTTACTGCCAATGATACAATCATGGGACAAAAAGACAACATACTAAATGAGAGAAAACATTTGAAAATCATATGTCTGAAAAAATACATAAAAGACTTTTTTGATCCAATAATAAAATGACAATAACTGAATTTTAAAAAATCGGCAAAGGGTCTGAATAAATTCATTCAATGAAGATATACAAATGGCCAGTAAGCACATGAACATATTCTCAATGTCATTAATCATTAGGGAAATGAAAATTAAAACCACAATGAGGTACTACTACTTTACACCCAAGCAGATAGTTAATTTTATTTTAGGAGACAATAACAAGTTTTGGATAGTATATACAGAAATTGGAACCTTCACACACTGCTAGTGGGAAAACATTTTGGCAGTTCCTAAAAAATCTAAACAAATATTCCATATGACACAGCAATTCTACTCTCAGTATATACCTACGTGAAATGAAGAAATATTAATATGTTCAAAAAATTTGTATACAAATATACATAAATTGTTCTTAATGGCCAAAAAAATCAAAACATCCATACATATAAAAATCCAAACATCCATCCACTGATGAATAGATAAGTAAAATCAGATATATCTTTACCATGGAATATTGTTCAGCAATGAAAAGGGATGAAGTACTGATGTATGCTACAGCATGGATGTATCATGAAAGGATTATATTAAATGAGTAAATCCAGACACAAAAGGCCATGTGTTCTCATATTATAAGTTCCCACTATCTGAAATGTTCAGAATAGTCAAATATGTAGAGACAGAAAGTACATAAGTGGTTGCCAGGGAAGGGTTGAGAGTGAGGAAGGAAATGAGAAGTGACTTTTAATGGGTGTGGTTTTGTGTGTGTGGAAACAAAAAAGTTCTAAAATTTTATTGTTAGATGGTTGCCCAAATCTACGAATATATTAAACATATTAAAATGTACATTTTAAATGAGTGTATATGAGTTATATCTCAATAAAGCTGTTAAAAAAATAGTTCAGACGCTGGGATCCTGGAGAAAGCATACTAGCTGTGAGCCCCTGGGCAAGTAACTTCTGGGTGCTCAGTTTCCTCAATCTCTAAAACGAGGAGAAAACATTACCTCTTTTTTTGATAAGAGAAATTTAATAAGATAACATCCCCAACACCCACCCACGCAGAATCTGGAGTGTTTCGAGTGTTTGATGCATGTTAGTGTTATTGTTGTTGGATAAAATTGTCACACCACTGAGTATTTTGGTTTCCTAGAGCTGCTGTAATCAAAAAACTGCAAACTGAGTGGCTTAAACAACTGACGTTTATTGTGTTACAGTTTGGAAGTTAGAAGTCTAAGATCAAGGCGTCCACAGGGTTTGTTCCTTTTGAGCTATGAAAATGAGAGGAAGTTGGTAAACTGATAGGCTGATTTGTAGCTACAACAAAATAAAATGAAGTTTTTCTAATTAAGATGACTAGCAAAGACCCATATGTGCACAGCGAAGAATAACGCTCCTAGCCTTTGACAACTGTGTCAATTTTGTAGGATGAATGAATTCCACCATGAGGCCCTTGATTTTTGATCCCCTTTTCTTCCATATGATCTTCTTTTCTTAGCAGCTTAGAAGAGCACACGTTTATTTTCCCACAGTTTCAGCGTGCCAGGAGTCCTTGCACTGCTTGTTTAAATGAAGCGTCAGCCAGGACTCCATTTACTTACTTTTGGAGTCTCAACTGGAGAAAGGCCCCCTTCCAAGCTCACTCATGTTGGCAAAATTCATTTTCTTATGGCTGTAGGATTGATTCGCTTCTTCAAAACCAACAAGAAAAGCAAGACCTTAGAGTTAGACTTTACTCCTTCAGGGACAGCAGCAGGAATACTTTGGTGTGTGTCACTAGCAGGTGAGAGGAGAAAAACCAATCTCAGGTCATGCAGCAGTTCTATTTGTTTTGTTCTATTTCGTTATATGTTTAAAAATTTTTATTGTAGAAATGTTCAACCATACATGAAAGTGGAGATAATAATATAAGATTTATTATACTTCTCAATTAATAGACTATTTTTTGAGCAGTTTTAAGTTTAGGGAAACATTGAGCGGAATGAAGGTTCCCATAGCAGGCTTCTCCAGAAGTTCTACCATTAATAACATCTTGCATTAGTGTGGTTCATTTGTTACAACTGATAAGCCAATATTGATACATTATTATTAGCTAAAATCCATAATTTACACTAGGGTTTACTTTTTGTGTTGTATATTCCATAGCTTTTGACAAATGCATAATGACATCCATTATTGCAATATCATACTGAATAGTTTCTCTGCCTTAAAAATCACCTATGCATCACCTAGTCACCCTTCTCACCTTCTCCCTAGAACTCTGGCACCTATTCATATTTTTACTGTCTTCAGAGTTTTGCCTTTTCTAGAATGTAATATAGTTGGAATCATATACTCTGTAGCCTTTTCAGACTGGCTTCTTTCATACAGCAATATGTATTTATGGCACTTCCACTTCTTTTTCTGGCTTAAAAACTCATTTTTATGGCTTAATAATATTCCTGGATATACCACAGATTGTTTATCCAATCACTCAGTGATGCCATCTTGGTTGTTTCCAATATTGGCAATTTAAATAAAGCTGCTATAAACATCCATGTACAAATTTTTGTGTAGGTGTAAGTTCTCACTCACTTGGGTAAAACACCAGACAGTACAATTGCTGCGTCTTGTGTAAGTGTATGTTTAAGGTTGTAAGAAACCATCAAATTGTCTTTCAAACTAAGTGCACCATTTTACATTTCCACTAGCAATAAATAAGAGTTTGTGTTGTTCCATATTCTCTCCAGTATTTGGTGTTGTCAATGTTTTGAATTTTAGCCATTCTAATAGGTGTGTCTATATGATCTTTTTATCTTCACCAGTTGGTTTTCATATCTTATTAGATAGAAAGTGCTAAAATCCTAGGAGAAAATAGATACCTGATCTTCTTTGATCAATATATTACGCCCAGGTCCTTGTATATATGTTGAATAAATGAAAGAGTCTTTGAAGAATGTATCTGAAATTTCCTTTAGTATATAATTCTGTTGTTTAACAATTTTCATTACAAGAAAAAATATGTATACAGAAATCTTGAAAATTTTTGTTTAAAGCAATCTTTTCTTCTTATCACTAAAGAAACAAAAATATTGATTTTATTCTTATTTTCCTTATGTTTTCTGTGTTTAAGACCACTGAAGAGAGTCCATAATATAACATTTGAATATGTTCTACTCTACTACTTTTTTGGAGAGTAATAAAGATAAATGACTCTATCTCTTCTATGAATATTTACATTCTGAAATATGCTTTTCTTAGGACAAATCATAATTTGCATGCTTTTCCAAAGTACTTTTATGTGCTATGCAGATGTTAGGTTAAAGAAAACTTCAGTCTGCAATTTTAAATTTGCCACTGATAAATATGCAAGAGTTTCTGAGGTATGATATATGTATATAGTTTTTTCTTTTTCTTCTAAAGCAAAGCTTTCCTAAGTGCAGGGCATCTTAAAGTCTGCAACATCATACGTAATAATGATTTGCTAGATTCCAAGAAGATTGTCCAGTAATAAAGCATGAAAATCAAATCACACTATGACCCACACTGACTTAATTCATTGTTCTGTCATAGTTTTCTTCAAAAGAAAATAATACACCTTTTTTTTTCATTTCAGGGATTTTGTCAGTTCCTCTTAAAAAATATGGAGTTCCATAAATTTGGGATTTTAATTTAATAATATTCAGGATAATTGATTTTGTAACTTCTGTTAGGCAAGTATCATTCTTATATTTTTCCTAGATAGCAATCACCACACAGCTATTTATTTCCTATGTGTAACAGGTCAATTCTTAGACTAGGATGTCTGAGATAAAGTAGGGATTCTTTTGCTTTTAGCAAGCAGCTATTATGATATATGATATTATGATAGTTCAGATGTATTTTAAATTAATCTGGAAGTATTCATTATTCTTATAAAATTTTGTGTAATTAAAAACTATATATGTAAATACACGTGTGTAAGTATTCATCAATGTTAATATATATTTCAATATAAATACATACAAATTTATACATAGACAGACACATTCATCAAAATTAAGGTATGTAGATATATTCCTTAACTTAATTGAGCTTTAAATGCTGTGCAAATATAATTGTCTATTTTAGTGAATGGTTTTGCTTCTTGAAGTATCTGATTGATCTGTAAAAATCTATGAGTTTATAGATTCTATCCTGAAAGATGAGAGGTTGGGTACAAACGAAGAAGAGATAGTCCCAAATTGATAAATTTAGTGATTTAATTTTTAATACTTATTTTTAGCGCATTGAGAACAAGCAGAATACATGTTTAAACTTTTAAGATTTAGGCGCTAAAATATTCAAACTGTTAAGCCTTAGAATACCAAAGCCAACAACTTCATGCACCACTTCCTAGGCTGAGGGAGTTGACTGGGTCAGACTGTAGGAGCCACTTAAGATTATCAAATTAGCCACGGACAGGTGGGAGCATGCCACTCTCACAGATGGAGGAATTCAGACGCAGAAGGATTAAAGACCTTGTTCAGGGATCCACAGCTGTTCAAGTTAGTGCTGCCATGACTGGGACCCAGAGTGAATGAGATCTTACCCTGGGGTTTGTTCATTTGTTTGACCTGCCTTTTATTTAGTTACATTATACTCACATTTTTAATTTTTGTCAGTAAGTGCCATAAACAATTTGGCACACTCATGTATGATTTCAATTAAATTATTAAGTGAAGTGTCTGTAAAATTAAGACCTCTACTTTATTCATTTTTGTATTCACAGGAAAATGACTACTGAACTCCCAGGTCCGTTTATCTATTTAAATGTAAATAGGGAAAGTTTGTCTTCTTTACTCATGAATCCCCGTACCATTGCTCTGGTCAGACAGCCAGGTCCAGAGTGGCTGTGTCCCAGTTCCAGCCTCATGCCAGCTTTCAGGCAAACAGAAAGAGTGTTTCCGTAACAGGAGAGGAGCATTTTCCTAAACCTGGCCTAGACCCCTGGCCTTAGGGTTCAAAATGTCCCTGTTCTGCTTCCTTCTCCACATCAATTTATTGTAATTATAATTAATAAATTGTAATCTGTTTAATAATGTCCCTTCTGCTAAATGGACTGACAAGAACTGACTCTTCTTTGTGCAGCAGCTGACATAGTACTACTTGACATTAAATAAACTGAAGTTCATAGCCGGAGATGACCAGAATTTCCTTAACATCACTTTCTATTCCCAGGCTTCTTCTATTTCACCTCTCTTCAACCTCTTACATTTTATTTTAGAGGATTTGTTAATAGGGGGAAGGGAATAGTATAATTAACCTATATTATTGAGGATTTACTCTGAGAAACATAAGGCTGTTTGTCAACTAATTATGTTAATCTTGCCAGATGCTTCCTGAGAAGAATAGATTTCTGGACCAAAGCACAATGGAATACTTTTGTGTATAAAAACTTGAACACTCTTGGTTGGTCTCTAGTTATATTCTAGAACTAAACATAGATGATTTTACTGTCCTTTTACTATGTAATATACATTCCACATATCTTCTAAAGATAACCAAGTGTTTACTGGTCCTAAACTTGGAAAAGATGTTCAGGATCTTCGCTCCAAACAAATTTGGTACTTATTAACTTCTGTGAAATTTCTCTGAAACTGATTCAAAATATATATGACAATGAACTCAATTGAATAATAGGTTCATAATTCCTCTGTGCATACAACACTGTGCATATAAAACACTGACTTTTGTTACCTTTATTTTACTGTGTAAATAAATTGGTCACTTTCATCCATGTTACTCTAAGGAAATTTCTATTGAATCTCTTCCTTGGAATTTAGTATTCCTCTGAAAATATTGATTGATATCACTTAATTTTATAGTATAAACAATAAAAAAAGCAAAAATATACCTCAGAATGCAAAAGACTTATGAGATTGGTCATTGTCTCTAGATAAAGAAACAGGGTGGGGAAATGTAGGAAAGGTGAATTAGCTTTTTGTTGTTATACTTTGAAATATAGCATTTTGAGCATTTGAAAATTCTGGATATATATGTGTATATATCTGTATATGATTTTGTGTATGTATATGTATGTGTGTGTGTATATATGTATATTCTATTAGTCCATTTGGGCTGTGTATTAGTCAGTTTGGGCTGCTATAACACATATGCCATAAATTGGATGGCTTCAATAGCAAATGTTCATTTCTCAGAGTTCTGGAACCGAAAAAGCCAAAAATGAAGGGCCAACAAAACCGGTGGCCGGGGAAAGCCGAACTCCCGAATTGCAAAAGAATAACCTCCCAATGGAACCCCAAGGTGGGAAAAACAAAGAGAGGGCCCCTCTCCTCTAAGGGCACATCTCTTCTTCTAAGGGCACTAATCCCATTAATGGGGGTTCCATCCTCACGTATTAATTACCTCTCAAAGTAGTCCCCATCTGCAAATACTATCACATTGGGGATTTAAGCTTCAAGACATGAATTTTGAATAGATACCAACATTCATTTTATAGCAGGCTGCCATAACAAAATACCACAGTCTGGGTGACTTACACACAAAAATTTATTTCTTATACTTCTAGAGGCAGGGAAATCCAAGATCAATGTTTTGGCAAGGTTGGTTTTATTTAGAGGCCTCTTTCTGGCCTCCTAAATGGCTGCCAATCTCCCTGTGTGCTCACATGGCTACTTCTTTGTGCACAGGGGAGTTAGGAGAAAGACCCTCTGTTGCCTCTTCTTATAAGGGCACTAATCCTATTAGATCACGACTACACCCTATGACCTCATTTAATCCTAATCACTTCCTTAAAGACCCCATCTCCAAATACAGCCATACAGTTAGAACTGAATTTTTGGAGACATGAATATTCAATGCATGTGTGTGTGTGTGTGCACGTATAAAATATAAATACATATATTTGAATATATACATATATATAATTACAGTTAAAACAACCTTTTAGGTTGCTCTATGATATAGTTAGGCACCCACATATATAGGAATATACCTTCCAACTAACTCAACAATGAGTAATACTACTAACAAGTACTTTTGAGTAATTTTTCTCTGGAGCTGTTTACAATTGAGCTCCCAGCATAAATGTGAATCCTGTCATAGAGTGATGTACTATAGAAGTAAATCATCTATTCTAAAGGTTCCTAGAATATTCAGTGGGCAGTAGGGTTTTGTATTTTTTGTTTTTTTTTTTGTTTTATTTTGTTTTTCTGGTAGGACAAGATAATGGAGAGGGAAAAAAAGGAAAATAGTATTGCTATGGTTGGTATCAAAATAATAATAGTCTCCTTCCTAAACTGTTACTGAAGAAATTTTAAGGGAGAATATTCTTGAATCAAGAGTAGGTTAGATAGTCCATTGCACAGACAGAAAATCTCATCAATTTACAGAAGGCAGAGAATGAAAGTTCAAATAATTAGAGAGAAAGTAACAAAAACAGCTAAAAAGAGAACTGATAGTTCAGGGAGAATGAGATTAAAAGATTCTCATCTCTCTTTTCAAAAATATTCAACCCACACATTATAGTCATGTGAAGAAAGAGAATAGAATCCAGAATCATCAAAATATGGTGAATGCCATATTAATTATTTCCTAAATAAATTTGAATAAAATATATATGCATGATATTCTATATAAGTTCAATTGACCCTTAGTAAAACATGAAAGGAAAACTAGTGAAAGTTGGAATCTCAGCTGAGATAAGGGTAGTTTGAATGAATGTTGCTGCTGTCACATGCTAAATATAGCCCATTTTCCATTAACCTTGTTAGCTCTGGAAAAATAGAGACATTTTAGAAAAGGGAAAAGGAAAAAAATCATGGCATAAAACCTGTTTTTCTTTCAAGTCTGTCAGAATGTCGCCAGCCCTCTGCAGAGAGATTCCCCATCACCACCGTTTGGATAAATAGTCCCATCCAATACGAGGAAGGTAAAGAACAGAAAAATAAGTACAATTCCCCCCTTGGGAGGGAAAATCTCATGAAAACAAGTTCATGTTTGTTTCTGCCATCACTGTACAACCTCCACCTAGCTCAGTGCCTGTGCACTGTAGGATCTCAATAAAATGTTATTGAATAATTAATAAATTTATATAATTATTTGGTCACCTAAGTTTTCATGGCACGGGGGTAAAGGTATCGATAACAGAGCCCTGACTTACTAGGTCCCTGGGTGTCTCCTCTGCCTGCTGTGGCAACAATGCACATGTTCCAGCTACAACTTGGCTGATGGCGTCTTCCCTCCTCATTGCATTGGCTGCTGCTCCTCTTGGCACTAGGTTTCTTGGCTATGTGAGTGGCTGAGGTTGAATCCATCCAGGCTCTCTTCACAGATGTAGTCTCTACTCCCCTACGCTACTGCTCATCAGAACCTGTTACAAATAGAATCCTCAGGAGTCTACATGGCCATGCTTTAAGCCCTAGGAATTCTGAAGCTAATATACTCACCATCTTCTTTCCCACCATGATTTCCACTTTGTACATGCCTATTTAACAGAAAGATTTCACATCTCATTTCTCACAGCCATGTGTTTCACATAATTGTCATTTCATATATTAAAGTGATTTTTCCAAAGCCATATAACTAGTAAATGAAGAATCCCATTCCATAATTTCTGACTTCCAGACTCGGGACTGTCTTTTACTTCACTTCTAATGACTGTGCCTCTCCATAACCTGAGAATAAGAACAAACCAAAAATTTAAAAACTAAACTAAATTAAAAAAACATCAATGTGACATTAACAAGAAATATAAAATAGGACTGGTAATTGTGATATCAGGAAACCAGAAAAATCATACAGGTAGGAAGGGTGCCTGAATCCATCACTGAGAAGGGAAAATGTGCCTTGGTGGCCAATGAAAAACATACAAGGGTCCTAAAGGAGACTGAATTGTATCTTTATTTGTAGGCTAACAAATGATATTTTAGAGTAAACAATTATTTTAAGAGTTTATATCAGAGTTTTCTAAATTTTATTACCTAGCAAAATACCTACCACAAAGTCAATTCTAAAAATTAGCACAGAGTGCTAATTTTGAAAACAAGAAACACAAGTTGGTATATCTCAATATTTGTTGAAGCATGTGAGTTGTATAGTGTTGCATTTCTGTTTGCCTTGGAAGCAGATTCTGAGACACAAGTTGTATTCAGGATTGATGCCAGGATTGATATTTGGGGCAGAGAGTACAAGCAGGACTGGGCAGATGGAATGGCTGTGTTGCAGTATAGTCACAGTGAGGACCCTGCAGTCTCTGCAGGAGACGCTGGAATGACCCTGTAGAATTGCTACAAGTTGGAGTGACAGAGCTGGGCTTATATACCCTTGCATGGCTGAGGAATTTGATGCAGTATGCCTCTGAGAAGGAATATGACTTTAGATATGGTGATTCTCCAGCCAGGAGCAGTTTCTGGAGATGACTGACAAGCGACATTGACAAACTTGTCATTTGGCAGTACATCGAGGTGGGGAAAAATTCTTCAGTCATTGAAAAGGGATGAGAAGTGGATCACAGCGTCTGCTAAATACTGGCTTCCATTTATTGAATGTTTATTATGTGTTAGGTGATTTACTTACATTATATCACATTTTTACAAGTTCTTAAAAGAGATATTAATATTTACCCCTTACACTAATTTTCCAACAATATATGGCTAATAAAATTCCAGTTAATTCTATGACTCATGGCTACTTGACAAAATCTAGGGGTTTTTTTCCTATTATGTATTCAACAGGTTATAAGACATAAAAGTTTACTCAAAACAGCTCACAGCAATTTTTTTTCAAAATAGCCAGATATACAAAGAGTTGGAAAATGGACTATGCCTAATTGAGATTAATACAATATACCAAGTAAATCATGAACAAAAGATACTAAGGTAAAAGGTTAATTGTCTCAGTCTGCTTTCCTCACACTCCTAATGTATTTTTGTTTGATTTCTGTTTCTGTCTACTCAGTTCCCTTTTCTATTCTTGACCTTCAATAAATATTTTGTCTGTGCCATCTTTGTTTGCTGAGTGTGATGGTTAATTTTATGTGTCAGTTTGAGTGGGCCACGGAGTGCTACAGAGTACCCAGATTAAAAATTGTTTCTGAGTATATCTCAGATGGTGAGATGGTGTTTTCAGATGAGATTAGCATCAATCAATAAACCCAATAAAGTAGATGGTCCTCCCCAATGTGGTTGGGCATCATGCAATCTGTTGAGGGCCTGAATAGAAAAAATAGCACAAAAAAGATAAATTTGCCCCTTTTTTGTCCTGCTTCACTGCATGAGCTGGAGACAAGACATCTCATCCTCTTCCCCCCTCAGACTGGGATTGACAACCCTTGCTCCCCTAGCGCTCAGTACTGAATGGCATCATTTGCTTTCCTGAGTCTCTAACAGCTTGGAAACTGCAGACTGTGGGACTTCTCAGCCTCCATAATCCATGAGGCATTTTGTCATATATATTGAGGCTATCTGCTGGTTCTGTTTCTCTGGAGAACTCTTACTAATACAGATTTTGGTAGCAGGAGTGGCTCCAAAGGAAAAAAAAATTAAGAATAAGTTTTCTGAACTGGTTCTTAGGCTTCTGGAATTGGTTCTGTAATCTGATTAGATTTAAAGACACTAAGGACTCTTTCTACTGGTAAGAGAGCATTGATAGCTCATGACATGAACTGTTTATGGAGATATACTAAATATCTGCATTGGATACTCTTAATCAACCACTTATAAACCACCCATAAGAATGACTTATTAATGTAAGAAGCAAGGAGCTAGATAATTTTGTATAGGCTTTCAAACATTTTTGGAATAATAACTAATATAATAGTTAGCTGTTCGTGATGTCCCTAGGAGAAGTGGCAAAGGAAAAAGATGAGCTCAGGGATTCAAATACCCAGCTCAAAAGCCTCTTAAATGATGGAAGAGTGAGTCTCACGTATGCCCTGAAGAAGAACTTTGTTTCCTATAGCTGCAGGGCTGAAACTCCTGAAAATCAAAATCCAGGACCTCATCCTATAACTAGCTGAATTACAATGCAAATTGAACTCCCAGCCTCCCAGAGTGTCTGCTGTTAAAATGAGGGCATTGACTGAAAGAGAATGGGATCCTATAAGCTAGGATAGGGCTGTTTGGCTTTCTACTGAGTCATAGTAGAGACTGAATGATCAACCACAGGCCACCAAGTAACCGTGCAACCTGAGCTGGTGATCATGAACTGGGTGTTATCTGACTCACTAAACTATAAAGTTGGCTGTGCATAGCGACACTCTCTCAGAAAATGGAAGTAGTATATATGTGATTAGACCTGAGCAGCCCATTAAGACACAGGTAAGTTACATAAAAGACCCAAATTCCCATGGTACTCACTCTTGCCACACTGCCTTCTCTCTCCCAGTCTGAACCTATGACCTCATGGGAAGTTTCACATGATCAGCTGACAGAGGAAGAGAAGACTCAAGCCTGGTTTACAGATGTCCCTGCATAATATATAAGTGTCACCTTAAAGTGGACTGCTGCTGCACTATAGCTCCTTTCTTGGACATCCCTGAAGGACACTTGCAAATGAAAATTCTCCTAGTGAGCAAAATTTTGAGTAGTTCACCTAGTTGTTCACTTTCCTTGGAAGGAGAAATGACCATACATGTGATTGCATAATGATTTATGGGCTGTAGCCAAAGGTTTGGCAGGTTGGTCAGGGATATGAAAGAAACATTACTGAAAAATGGATGATGGAGAAATTTGAAGAAGAGGTACTCTGAGAAGAGGTTCTGTCTGAGGTATAGACAGAACTGTCTGAATAAGTAAAAAAAAAAAAATAAATGAATGTATGTATTACCCATGTGAATGAATGCACATCAAAGTAACCTCAGCAGATGATCATTTTAATAATCAAGTGGATAGGATGACCCGTTTTGTGGATACCAGTAAGACTTTCCCAAACTACCTCTGTCATTGTCCAATAGGCTTATGAACAAAGAGCCCACCATGGCAGGGATGGAGATTAAACGTGGGCTCAGCAACATAGCCTTCCACTCACCAAGGCCTATTTAGCTATGGCCATTACTGAGTGCTCAATCTTCCATCAGCAGAGACCAACAATTAGCCCCCAATATGGCACCATTCCCTGGGATAATCAGCTAGTTACTTGGTGGCAGGTTGATTACATTGCATCATGGCATGCAGTGCTCTACCAAAATTTACATCCACAGACTTACAGGATGCCTAATACACTAAGTTAATATTCCATGCATAATTGCTTGTGATCAAGGAACTCAAATTAGTGTGAAAGAAGTGCAGCAATGGACCCAGGCCCATGGAATTCTTTGATCTTACCATGTTCTTCACCATCATGAAGCAGCTGGCTTGATAAAATGTGGAACAATCTCTTGAAGACTCATTTATGGTTCTAGCCAGGTGACAAAACCTTGCAGGGTTGGGGTTAACTTCTTCAGAAGGCGGTGTTTTCTGAATTAGCATCCAGTACGTGATACTGTTTCTCCCATAGCCAAGATTCATAGTCCTAGGAATCTGAGTGGTAATGGAAGTGTTACCACTCACTGTTTTCCCTACTGACTCACTAGCAATAGTTTTGCTTCCAATTCCCACAACTTTATTTTCTGCTAGACCAGAGGTCTTAGTTCCAAAGAGAGGAATACTTCTACCAGGAGACAGGACAATGATTTCATTTAACTCGAAGCTAAGACTGCAGCCAGGCCACTTTGGGCTCCTCATACCTCTGAATCAGCAGTCAAACAAAAGGGAGTTATTGCTCTGGCTGGGGTGATTTATTCCGACTGCCAAAGGGAAATTGGACTCCTTCTCCACAAGGGAAGTAAGAAAGAGTATCTTTGGAATATAGGCGATCCATTAGCTCATCTCTTAGAGATATCATGCCCAGCAATTAAGGACAAGAGGAAATCACAGGACCAATACAGGTGGGAATACTAAGAACCCAGATCTCCAGGAATGAAGGTTTGGGTTATGCCAAAAGGTAATGGACCAAAACTGGCTGACGTGCTTGTTGATGACAAATGGAATACAGAATGGGTGATGGAATAAGATAATTATAAATTTTAGCCATGACCACACTATCAGTTAAAAAAGCAATGACTATAATTGTCATGAGCATGTCTCCCTTAGTTTATAATGAATACCTCTGTGTGTGTATGAAATATCTTTGTTTTCTTCCCTGTCCTGTCCTTATTATCCCTCTTATCCCTATATTATGTAAAATAAAATGTTTTAACTTTATATTGTAGTATTTTTTAGTATTGTTAATTTTATAGTAAAATTAATAGGATTCTAGTGTAACAGTAGGTTATAGGATATTAAGGAGAAGAGTAAACATCACTCAAGGACTTTGCCTCCTCTTCAGGCAAAAGGATTAGAGAATTTTGGTTGTATGAAGGATTGTTTTATCATGTTAGGTGGAATTATGACCTTGTTATTGTCACTATTTGGAGATTAAGTATGGTTTAAGGAGTGTCAAGTTGACAAGGAGTGAACTTGGGATGTTTAAGTTTATGTGTCAACTTGACTAGGCCACAATGTGCCTAGATTTCTGAGTAAACATTATTTCTTAGTGTGTCTTGAGGGTGTTTCCAGAGAGCTTAGCCTTTGGATAATGAGTATGGAGCAAGTAAAGCAGATGGACCTCCCAATGTAGGTGGATATCATCCAATTTGTTAAGGACTTGAATGGAACAAAAAGATAGAAGAAGTTTGGATTCATCCTCCTTCAGCCTAACTGCTTGAGCCAGAACATTGATCTGCCCTTGGCAATCCTTGTACTCAAATCAGTCAGACTCAGACTGGAATCTCAGACTATCAACCCTATGTCTCTTAGGCATTAGAACTATACCACTGGCCTTCTTGGGTCTCTAGCTTGAAAATGCCACATGGTGGGACTTCTCAGCCTCTGATTAATCACATGAACCAATAGTGATGAGGGATGTGTGTGTATGTATTTGTGTGTGTGTGTGTGTGCTATGTCTCTGGAGAACCCTGACATATATGACATGGGTAAGAAAAAAAAGAGACCATATGTAGGCTGCAAGAAATAGATCTTTTGGGTAGAAAATAAAGTACGAGGGAGACATATTGGGACACAGCTGCCATCCCTGGGGAACATATTAAAAGTGGTAAGGGACATTTTTTAATGTGTTTCATGATCCATTAAGCATATAGTATCCTCTTTAACCACCACTATTCTGTTTGAAAAATTTGCTGGAGTCTAAAAAAAATATGTAATTGCTTTCTGTCTGTCTGTCTGCTTCTCTCTCTCTCTCACACACACACACATATACACACACATTTTTTCCTTATTTCATCACATGCTACTAATTTTCAAGCAGAGAACAAATAATGGAACAGTCAGGCTCCCAATTACATCTGAGTGAAAAAAGAAAACTTGAAAAGTAAATGGAAACTTAACAATAACAACAATGAACATCAACACTTGGATTAATTTAAACATATAGATGGAGTAGAGTCTTTTCTTTGTGTTCTCAGAGATATTTTATGTATATAAAAAGTACATATATTTTCCTTTTTTTTTACATGAATTGTTGCATTATGACAACTATTTTACACTTTGCATTTTTTCAATAAATTTAGCTTTGTAATCAGGTCATGTCAGTTTATAATACACTTCTCTTTTTAATGGCTACATGATATTTTATTGTATATAGTTAAACAATTTATTTATATGATTACATATAAACATGTAGATTGTTTTAAGCTTTGATATATGGCAGAGAGCTGTGTGCCTATCCAGATATATGTTTTTTTCCATCGATAATATTGATTTATTACGTGGAGGTAGGTAAATGCTCAACCTGAGACTATATGCCCAAGATGTTCTTGAATCTGGTGCTCACGTGATTAGTTCTCACCAATATAATGTGAGAGTAACTCCAGGGCAGCACTTTAACAAGTAGGAATCCCTTTCTCCACCTTCTCCTTCTCCCTTCTACCAGCTGGATGCTGAAGGTAATGAATGGCTCTGAATACAAGACCATGTTCTGTTGTCAGCGCCAACATTCTGTGTAACAATCTAAATTCTTTCATTGTCTTTTGTGTCCTTTCTGAAAAAGATTGTGTGGGAGGCAACTTTTTGTAGATTTTGCTTGTCTAAGAAATGTGGATTTGTTTGTCTTCCGGTTTGAATGACACTGTAACTTGGTATAACATTTTAAGAGAGAAATAGTTTTTGTCAGAATTTGGAAGGTGTGGCTACATTGTCTTTTAGTATCCAGAATTTATGTTAACAAATATGAAGCCACCTGATTCTGCTCCAATATAATTTGTGCATATTATGTCTTGTTTTTCTTTTCTTTTCTCTTACCTTAGAAGATTTTAGGGTATTCTCTTTATACTTGATGTTCTGAAATTTAATAGGGTGATTTTCATCTCACTGACAGGGTATCTGATGGTATCTTTTGAACTGCAAACTGAGAAATTTTCTTAAATTATTTAATTAATGAATTCTTCTTTTCCATTTCTCTTTTCTATGGGTCTTATTCAAATGCTGCTCTCCTGGGGTACAGAGGAATGTCCTGCAACTTCAATTTATCTCTGACAGTATTAATAATCATATTTTTCCTTTGATTTTCCTCTCTTTTTTCCTCTAAGTTGTTTTCTCCTAATGGCTTCTTTTGTACTCACACTTCCATATTATGTTTTGATTTCTTATCTGGCAATTCCTACTTGTTGCTCATGATTCAAATAGTGGAATTAACTGTAATTTTGAAGTTTTGAGCAAATGGAATTTCTCAAATTTGAGCTTCCAGTATAGCATGATTCTGGAAGATATGTTATTGGGGTACACTACATAGAAAAATCTTTGGTATTTTTCCTTGCTCTGGTCAGGATTCTGATAAAAGAAACATTCTGGTTTCTTGCATGGAGGAGTCAAGATGTCAAATTTGGAAACAAATGTGAAAAGAGAGAAGACAGTATGTCATTTAGCATCAGTGTGTATAAATTAATTAAAGCTTCTGCACTGCCAAGGAAACTATCATGAGTGCAAACAGACAACTTACAGAATGGGAGAAAATATTCGCATGGTACACATCAAAAAAAGGGTTGATAAGTAAAATCTAAAACTCAGTAAATCAGCAAGACAAAGGCATACAACCCCATTAAAAAGTGGACAAAGGACATGAACATAAACTTTTCAAAAGAAGACAGACTAATGGCCAAAAAACATGAAAAAAAGCTCAATATCTCTAATCATCAGGAAAATGCAAATCAAAACCACAACGAGCTATCACTTAACTCCAGTGAGAATGGCTTTTATCAAAAAGTCTCAAAACAAAAAAGATTGGTGTGGATGTGGAGAGATAGGAACACTCATACACTGCTGGTGGGACTGCAATCTAGTACAACAGCTGTGGAAAGTAATGTGGAAATACCTCAAAAAGACACAAGTAGAACTCCCATTTGATCCAGCAATCCCATTACTGGGCATCTGCCCAAAGGAACAAGACATTCTATAGAAAAGACATCCACACTAGAATGTTTATAGCAGCACAATTCACAATTGCAAAGATGTGGAAACAACCCAGGTGCCCATCAATACATGAGTGGATCGATAAAATGTAATATTTCTATACCACAGAGTTCTACTCAGCCACACACACACACACACAAAAAAAACCAGTGATTATATAGCACCTCTTGTATCATCTCGGATAGAGCTGGAATGCATTCTACTAAGCAAAGTATCACAAGAATGGAAAAACAAGCACCATATGTACTCACCATAAAATTGGTATTAAATGATCAACACTTATGTGCACCTTTAGTAGTAACATTCAATGGGTATTGGGCAGGTTTGGGGGGAAGGAGAGGATGGGCATATTCACACCTAATGGATGTGGTACACCATCTGAGGGATGGACATGCTTGATGCTCTGACGTGGGTGGGGTAAAGGGAATATATGTAACCTAAATATTTGTACTCCCATAACATGCTGAAATAAAAAAAAAAATAAACAAACCATGCTTCAGGGTGAATACTCTTTCTAAAAATAAACCTTCAGACTTCTGCTCTAGCAAGTGAGAGGCAGCATCCAGATGTGTGGAGAAGAGAGGGTGCCTAGAGATCTTGCTTTTCATCTGTGTTATTTTACTTCCTTAACTCCCCACCCTGACTTAATTCCCACTTGTTGATTTCCTTGGGACTGCTATTGTAGAATAAGAATTAGGCTCCAACTGATCTGCTAATTCAGTGGTGCTCATCCATGTGCTTCAAGATTGAAAAGTTGTATTGCTTTTGTCTCCTCACATTCTTGATTCTTGAATGTTGTATTTCTTAAAAAATATATATTTTTAATTTAGTTGTAGTGAAGTTCTAGGACAAATAAATTAGATGTGTATATTGTATCTGAAATCATAATATAGATCTCCTAACTACTACTTTGTAGAGCTCTAAGGAGTATATTTAAACTATAGTAAGTCTAGTACCTGATAGATAGTAAGTGCTGAATATATTTGATATTTACTATAATTCCACTAGACCTCTGCTTCAGTGAAAGAAGAAACTGTGTCAACCTGTTTCTTCCAACCTCTTATCACAACTTGGAACTTAGGAAAGGATCACAGACTCTATTTACTTAGCAATGTGTTAAGTGAATGAATGAATGAATGAATGAATGAATGAATGAATGAATATAAAAGTAGAAACAACTAAACATGAATGATCCAAGAGACATCCTGGTATTGAGTTTTGTGCCTTAACTGCAGCAATCTTTTATCATTCCTTCTGAATCCTCAATTTAAACTAGCCATGGTAATGGAAGAATGCCCACAAAGGCAGCCCATGACTTTGAAAAGGTAAACAAATAGCAGCCAGTGGCTTTATCCATGCCTTTTTAAGCCCATAGCTCTTCTCTTATGTTCCATCTGGACCTCCTCTCTCTGTTAACAACAATGAATCAGACCTCTCCCACTCCTTGCTGTTTCTTAAGGAGAAAAGAAGAAGCAAGAATGATAGCAATCATCCTCAATGAAGCCTTTTTTCCCTTTACCTCCAAACCAGGGCAGTTTAAGAGACATGATAAACTATATCACATAGAGAAAAAATGCATTCAGATAAAATTATGAGAACCAAAACAAAAGAAAATGCTGAAATTGCAATATAGATAGAAATTGCTCAAAGTGAAGGCACACGTTATTTGGAGGCCACCTATACACATTCTAACAAGATATCTGTTTTCAACAGAGACAATAGCAAATATTTTGGGAGACAATAGCAGTTTCCTCCTTGATATTGAACTCAAATGATTAGAGATGTACACTTAGGATTTTTTTAATACTCTATTGTCTTTCAACTTACCAAAACACTTCTTATGTTTTCACATATTTTTAGCTAAGCCAATAGAAGTTGAAAAGATATTTCAGTCACACGAAATATGTCCTGTCTACATAGGACTTCTACATGGCAGTAGGCAGTGGCTTTCTGTAGCAGCCAGGAGAGGACCACGCTCAGACCAGGTGACTTTTATTACAGGTCCTACTTTGTTATCAATTGACTGAACTGGAGCAGATAATATACACTTTCTTTCCTTCCTTTCTTTTATATGTTCATAATATTACCAATCTATCTCATAAGTTTGTTTCATCCAGTTAGATAATATACATGTAAATACGATGATTATTACAAAATATCACTAAATATTAAGCCTCGGTGAGCTTGTTTATTGCTGATTGCCAATTCATTGTTTATTGATTTATGAAAATGTCACTATTGTGTCTTCTCCACATCTGAGTGGGAACTCAGTGTGACATTAAAAGCATGGGCTCTAGAACAGACTGCTTACAACCCAATGTTACACCTAATATTTTCTTAGGGAAGTTGGTTAACTGTTCTATGTCTGTTTCCTTTGTTTTAAAATGAAAAAGTGCCCCACAAAGTTGCTTCATAAGGTATATATTAGGTCATTAAATATGAAATGTCCAATTTCAAATAAAAGGTTTAGTTTATTATATATCAAATAAGATGGAGTACAGTTGATCAAAGTATGCGCCTAAGTTATCCACACAATTCTGCCATCTTAATGGTAGCTTGTTTACGTCAGCAGTGAAGAAGCCTGGAGAGTGAATACTAAAATACGTTTTTCACAGCTTCTTGAGAATTGAATTCCTTGTAAGAAGTGATCCAAAGCCTGAAAGAAGTGGCAGTTAGTTGGTGCAAGGTCTGGTGAATATGGTGGATGAGAGTTTCCTAGCCCAGCTTCTGTAGTTTGAAGTAACGTTGTTTTTGTGACATATGGGTGAGGATTGTCTTGAAAGAGGATTAGTCTGTCTCTATTGATCATATTCAGCTGCTTCATAGCAATCATCTTCATCATTTCATTCAAATGGTTCCAGTAGACATCCTTTGCAATCGATTGACCAGGTTGCATTAAGCTGTAGTGGATAACACCAGCATTGTACTACCAGACACCATTAGCTTTTTCAGATAAATATTCGGTTTTGGACTGTGTTTTGGCACTTCATCTTTATCCAACCATTGTTTCAAATGCTTGAAATTGTCAAAAAGAATCCATTCTTCATCACACGTAATATAGTATAGAAATGGTTTGCATTTATGTCGTGATAACAAAGAAAGGCAAGCTTCAAGACAATTTCTATACTAATGCTCATTTATTTCATGCGGTACCCAGCTACACGGCATCTCTACTTTGCAGATTTGTTTCAAATGGTCCAATATTGTTGGAATAGTAATGCCAACCTCGCTGCTAATTCACATATAAGATCAGATGGATTCACTTCCACTACAGCTTTCAATTCATAATTATGCACCTTGATCTTGGGTCACCCACAAGGCTCATTTTCAATATTAAAATTACCAGAACATAACTTCTCAAAACATCCACATATTACATATCACATATCAAATACATAGAGGCTCTATGCAACATTAGGATATATAAAAGTTTATACTTAAACAATTGTTTATCAGACTTACCTT